GCTCAGCTCTTGGACCTCTTCAATTCTTCCCTTTGCTTTAGTTTCTTTATGCTGGAGAGCAAGTTTCAGAGTCTCCTCTGACATCCATTTTGACCTTTTTCTTCTTTCTTGTCTTCTTAATGACTTTTTGCTCTCTTCATGTATTTTATTCTTGATGTCATCCCACAACTCTTCTGGTCTTTGGTTTTTAGTGTTTAATGCATCAAATCTGTTCTTCAGATGATCTCTAAATTTAGGTGGGATAAATTCAAGATCATATTTAAACTCTATGAATAGCAGAGAAACACTGTCAGGACATCAATAGTAATTGTTTAATATCGTTCATAAAAAGTGCTAAAAATCATATGAATCCTCTAAAAAGGAATGTTGGGAGGAGCGCAACTATTTTACCTAAGGTAGTTAGAAAAACAAAACCCCTTGTATGACTAATATTTATGCTGAAACTTATACTGGGAAGGGAGTCACAATACAAATAGGAGTATGTCACTTGGAAGAGACATGTTAAGGTGTTGGGGTGTAATAAGTGATATGAAGAAATGGAAAAAAAATGTATACAAAAACAGTCATGTTTTAAAAATATAGGAGATGTATTTTGATATATTTTTATTCCCTAGATTATTGTAAGAAAAAATAAAAATTAAAATATATACTTCTGGGTGTCCAAAAAATCAGAATAAGTGTTGGTAAAGGATTGGATCTCCTCCTCCAGCTAGGTCAAAGAAAGTTGTGTTGATATTTTGGTCAGTTAATAGCATAGTAATTCCTGCGGCCAGGACTGGGAGTGATAAAAATAGTAATACTTCTGTGATGAGAACAGATCACACAAAAAGAGGCGTTTGATATTGGGACATAGCAGGGGTTTTATATTAATAATAGCAGTAATAAAGTTAATGGCTCCTAAAATTGATGATACTCCCGCTAAACGTAATGAGAAGATGGCTAAATCAACTGAAGCACCTGCGTGAGCAAGATTGCCTGCTAGAGGAGGATATACAGTGAATATCTCTAGCTTCTGTACCTCATTTGGCTAATAATTAATTATTAAAATTCAGTACATAGCTAAAGGGAAAAAAAACATATTGTGTGTGCATATTAGTGAATGAAAATATCAGATATATCTAGCAACACAGAAAAGATGGGCTGTGAAAGATGCATCATCTCCTGCTATGTTGGAATTGCAGAGCTTGAAAGAAAGGCAAAACTCCTGTATCAGAGTTTGAAATAGGGTTAGATCAAAGCAGAGCATGAAAGATGATTTCTGGGCTGACAATGTAGAAACCAGAAGTTGAACATTTAATTTTAACTCAGGCAAAGAAGACATGATCTTGGACTTCCATACTCATACATTAGAAAATTAATTCCCTGCTTAAAGTCATGCAGCAGAAATGAAAGTGAGCACTCCTTTTCTTATACAGTGCATGTAAGAGATGAGATATAAGTAACTACTATTAAAAAAGAAAAACAAAGCAAAAAATACAAACAATGATTTTAGAAATGAAAAAGATGACATCACTGAAAATACTACAGATTAAAAATAACTGTTGTGGGTGTGTATTAATGCACATATTTACATATGCATGTATTGTTTTTGTTAAACTCCATTGATTCTGTTCTGACTCATAGTGACTCTGTATAGGGTTTCTGAGGTGCAGCTGTTGGGTTAGAACTCCTGACCCTATGGTTCACAGTCCAGTACTGATTCTACAATGCTGCACCAGAAGTCGTATTCATAAACAGAAAAAGTAAATGGACAGATGGATCGTTTCAACCGAGAATTAGGATATATAGCAAGAAAACAAATTAGTGCTTAGTACAGGAACTGAAAAAATTGGATTCTATCATACCTGTTCAGTTAGACATAATACAAACAGTTACTTAAAGATACAAAGGAGTGAAGAGAGGGTGGCAGTCTATATTATAAGAATATCACTAAAAAATAAATGTTTTTTAAAATGCCCATTTTTGTGACTTTTATGTAGAATCAGGTATAATAGGAATGGTTTCCAGGTTCACAGATATTAAAGTGTCATTTATGGCATGGACAAATATAAAATTGGAATATGCAGAAATAAGTTGTACAGGATAAATGGAACATCACAAAAGAAAAAAACCTTTCAAATTACGTTCTCATATTTCAGTTGACTCTGGAAACATTCATGAATTGAACATAAAGATTAATAACTAACTGAGAACAGAACTTCTGTCCATTAAACAGAGATTAGAGTTTGAAATTCAAGAAAGATCATTGTTGGATTTTTAAAAAGGTAACAATTGAACACTCATCAGAGTAAGCAAACAAATGATTAAGATTCTGTGTCAACTTGATTAAGCCAGAATTTCCAGAGGTCTAACAGTTGGGATGTGCTTATTCTCTAATACAGGCATAGTTAATTCTATGATGAGTGGCGATGAATATCAAATCAATTAAAGGGATGCTTCCTTGGGGGTGTGGCCTGTTCCCGTTATAATGGACACACAAGAGGAACACTCTCTCTCTCTCTTCTACTGGGGACGTAGGAATCTCCAATTTATAAGGCATTTCCTTAATAATGAACTTCTTTTTGTATATACATTGTTGTTGTTGTTGTTAAGTGCCGTCGAGTCGGTTCCGACCCATAGCGACCTTGTACAGGGTTTCCGAGGGTGTAAATCTTTACGGGAGTAGAAAGCCTCATCTTTCTCCCGCGGAGCGGCTGGTAGTTTCGAACCTCTGACCTTAAGGTTC